CCCCTTCATGTTTTTTGAAATATAAATTGCCCCAAATATGTGTAGTTGATAAAGGCTCATGTGATTTTCCTGTTTTACACATTTACCGTACCTCCTTATCTATGAACAGGGTAGCACTGAGCTTATTCTGTTTCAGCTTCCAGTCACAAAGCCTATAACAATCTGACTCACATGTCTAGAATATACTTCAAGGTAGGGGTGAGCAGGCTCCTGGCTGAAGCCAGTCTGGGTCAGGCAAGTTTAGATTCATCTTTGCTGTATTCTTGTATCTTAATGGCCAATGTGAGTACATATAAGAAATACTATTTTTTTCTAACTTGTAGTGTTTATGATAATATTTATGTTCTAAAAGCAGTATTTCAAACTCTTTAACAGAGTTGTATTTTATTTTACTCCATTAGCTTCCTACAGGCTACACATGTCTTCTCTAGCAAAGGCTCTGACCGCACCACCCAAGTCTTGGAAGGCAGATGCAGGGACTGTGAGAATGGAGACCTTGGGCCCACTGTAGGAGAGGAATTGGTTTGAGACCATCTTAAAAATCTGAATGTGCACAAGTCCATGGGTCCTGATGAAATCCATCCACAGGTCCTGAAGGAGCTGGCAAATGAAGTTGCTAAGCTGCTGGCCATCATATTTGAAAAATCATGGCAGTCAGGTGAAGTTCCCAACGACTGGAAAAAGGGAAATATAACCCCCATTTTCAAGAAGGGGAAAATGGATGACCCAGGAATTACAGACCAGTCAGTCTCACCTCTGTGCCTGGCAAAATCTTGGAGCAGATTCTCCTGGAAGGCATGCTAAGGCACATGAAAAACAACAAGGTGCTTGGTGACAGCCAGCATGGCTTCACCAAGGGGAAATCCTGCCTGACCAATTTGGTGGCCTTCTATGATGGGGCTACAGAACTGATGGACAGTGGTAAAGCAGTTGATGTCATCTACCTGGACTTGTGTAAAGCGTTCAATACTGTCCCACACGACATTCTTGTCTCTAAATTGGAGAGACATCAATTTGATGAATGGACCACTCGGTGGATAAAGAACTGGCTGGATGGCCGCACACAAAGAGTTGTGGTCAATGGCTCAATGTCCGGCTGGAGACCAGTAACGAGTGGTGTCCCTCAGGGATCAGTGTTGGGACCGGTCTTGTTTAACATCTTTGTCGCTGACATGGACAGTGGGATTGAGTGCGCCCTCAGCAAGTTTGCCGATGACACCAAGCTGTGTGGTTCGGTTGATACGCTGGAGGGAAGGAATGCCATCCAGAGGGACCTTGACACGCTTGTGAGGTGGGCTGATGCCAACCTCATGAGGTTTAACCATGCCAAGTGCAAGGTCCTACACCTGGGTCGGAGCAATCCCAGGCACAGCTACAGGTTGGGCAGAGAAGAGATTCAGAGCAGCCCTGCGGAGAAGGACTTCGGGGTGCTGGTCGATGAGAAAATGAACATGAGCCGGCAGTGTGCGCTTGCAGGGCAGAAAGCCAACCGTATCCTGGGCTGCATCCAAAGAAGCATGACCAGCAGGTCGAAGGAGGTGGTTCTGCCCTTTTATTCTGCTCTCGTGAGACCTCACTTGGAGTATTGTGTACAGTTCTGGTGTCCTCAACATAAAAAGGACATGGATCTGTTGGAACAAGTCCAGAGAAGGGCCACGAGAATGATTAGGGGACTGGAGCACCTCCCATATGAAGATCGGCTGAGAAAGTTGGGTCTGTTCAGCCTGCAGAAGAGAAGGCTGCGTGGAGACCTCAGAGCAGCCTTCCAGTATCTGAAGGGGGCATATAGGGATGCTGGGGATGGACTCTTCATTAGGGACTGTAGTGGTAGGACAAGGGGTAATGGGTTGAAACTTAAACAGGGGAGGTTTAGATTGGATATAAGGAGGAAATTCTTTCCTGTTAGGGTGGTGAGGTACTGGAATAGGTTGTCCAGGGAGGTCGTGAGTGGTTCCCTGGCAGTGTTGAAGGCTAGGTTGGACAAGGCCTTGGGTAATATGGTTTAGAGCAAGGTGTTCCTGCCCATGGCAGGGGGGTTGGAACTTGATGATCTTAAGGTCCTTTCCAACCCTAACTATTCTATGATTCTGTTCTATGATTCTATGATACTATAATATTATTTAGAGAGAGGAAATAACTCATGGCCACTTAAAGGACAAGTATTCATCAGGAAATCTAAACGAAATATCAAGGTGAGATGACTATTCAACAAATGCTGCATTACTTATTATTATTATTATATTAGTATAACTTTTAAATTATATTATTATTACTACTAGCTTTTGGTCAAATTATAAAAATTTATTAAAAACACACCCATGTCAAAAAGCAGATGTCAAGCTTATATATATTTTTTTTGTACAAGCACATACGCACAGACACAAATATATCCAAAGGCTATGCTGGCAGAAAAATTTAGACAAACAATTCAGCTATCAGGCTTATTATCACACTCTCAAACTTACAAAAGAAAAAAAAAGGTCACTGCAGAATTTGGTTTTCTTAGCTGGCAGTGTGAACTGTAGTCTTTTTATTCTGAAAATGACTTCCAAGTATACAACCAGGGAAAGGCACCTCCCTCCCAGCTGTATGAAAATAGAGCCCCATGAATGTCAAAGATAAGTCAGTGCTGTAAGAAATGTGGGCATCTGCCTTCCCTGCCTCTGGTAGGAAAAGGGAGTACTAGTCATGATGAAACTGGGAAAAAAACAAATATAGGAGATTCATCCTGTAGGGCTGTATCTAAAGATGAAGAACTGATCAATGAGGTTTGCTTAATGTGGTAAATAAGGAATGACTGAGGAAAACAGTAACAACTGTTCATGGACACAAAAGGATAAATCAGATACTACACTGTACTGGAGGGTTATACCCACTTAAAAAAAACAAAACAGAACAATAAGCAAACAAACAAAACCCCAAAACAACAAAAACCCCAAAGTCATCTTTCTGCTGTGATTCTTTGGTCTCTTTTAGTCTCATAGGGCACTAGCATATTTCTTCTTAGGGGCATGTGCCAATTTGAAGTTGTCGTGGTTTAAGCCCAGTCAGCCACACAGCTCACCCACTCCCCCCCGTGCCCCCCGTGCCATCCTCCCACCACTCCCGGAGAGATAGGGAGGAAAATTGTAAGAAGGTAACTCCCATGGGTTGAGATAGGAACAGTCCAGTAACCAAGGTATAACACAAACCACTGCTGCTACCACCAATAATAATCATGATGATAACGGATATAACAAGGGAAGCAAATACAACTGCTCAACTGCCGATCGATACCCTGCTTGACCCAAGCAGTGATCTAGCCCTTCTGGGTAACTCCCCCAGTTTATATAGTGGGCATGACGTGCTGTGGTATGGAATACCTCTTTGGCTAGTTTGGGTGTCAAGTGTCCTGTCTCTGCTTCCAAACGGCTTCCCCTCCTCCCTGGCAGAGCATGAGACTCAGAAAGTCCTTGGTCAGACTAAACATTACTGAGCAACAACTAAAAACATCGCTGTTATCAGCGCTGTTCCCACACTGAAAGTCAAAACCACAGCACTGCACCAGCTACTAAGAAGAAGAAAAATTACTGCTACTGCTGAACCCAGGACAGAAGTATACCCACCATGAGCTAGCACAGTCAAATATAGAAGTCAAAGTCAGGACCTGACATGATAAGAGTAGTTAAATCGCACACGCTGTATTATAATAAGTATTCTTTAGATCATTGTGAAAATCAGACAGTGCCACTGGCAGCCAAGGTTCTGTCAATTTCTCAATAAATAAATGTGACTACAAATTGTTTACAAATCAACACCAGCTTATGATGACGTTTCAGAGTCAAGCTCTTAACACTTAGGATGCAGCTAAATCAAATTCAAGTATAACTTATTCATGCAATTTTTCAAACAGTTATAACTGTGTAAAAATATATTTTTGTCACATAATACAATGAAGTGTTTCCATCATCATGTCTGGAAAGAAATTCAAACAAATAGAGGCTAAGCAAAAAGAAAACAGGCACAAATAAAATAATAATTTAAAAAAGCCATTTAAATGTAAGATTCATTAAAAAAACATATACCAGTAGGCATTCATAGACAACTATTTTATTATAAAGCATACAGACAAAAACCTCTGATATCTAAACCTTCTAGTGATGTGAATGGTGATTCAAACAGCAGAAGAGGCACAGTGCCTGAAAGTGAGGTTGTGAGAGTCCCACTAATTGCATTTCCATTCTCCAAAATATTTACTTGCAATTTGAAAAATTAAGCTTAATGTCTATATTCCTCATAACAATGGCCAGTTCTGAATTACAATTTTTCAGAAAGCTGCCTGGAAAAATCAGTATTTTCCTCATAAAATATAGCTTATTTCTCATTTTCTTAAATGTTCTCAAGAGGCTGTACCTTTAGCAAAAACAAAGCTGCATCCCAAAAATGACTACTATGACATTGTCTCCATATGGAACACATCTCGCTTATGCAAAACACAACAGAAAGGCTGTGTTAGATTCACAGCCTGAATCCTGTTATTATTCTAATTTCTCAGCCTAATTCTTTGCCCAGTATTCTGAGCTAAAGAGTCATCTTCATTTTGCTGTGTATGTATACATTAAACTTATGAGGTACAATGGCTTATTACTTGATAACTTGTGTTTCAATATAATGAGCATGCATACAGACCCAGCTGTGAGTTAAGAAAGTTTATCACCTCACCTGTCATATTACAGTATACAAGAAACGGTCCCAATGGGCCACTTCCATCTGAATCAATATTGAAAAAGCCTGAAGTATTCCCTCTGTGCTTATAGGCTTCACATGATTGCTCATAGATGGCTGTAAAAGAACACATTCTATCACAAATGTAATGGCATAATTTTACATTTTAGTCAGGGAATTAAGAAAAAAAAGCATGTGGAGCCTGGCAATGGGGAAAAGAAGATGTGTGTGTTCACTGCTAAAGAATACAGAAGAAATCACATAACCAGAACTATGTTTTCATTTGTTTCTGTAGAGCGCATTTGGTTTTATGTATTGAGGAGATCACAAGAGGTATTTTCAAGCATTTTCTCCCTTATTTCAATCTGGAAACTTCAGAGAGGAAACTGTAAGATGCAAGTGAGTAAATAGTTGTAACACCTGTGAAATAATGTGAATGCCAAGGGTATTACCTAGATCCTGCTGATCAGACTTGGAGGAAACAAACACTAACTACAGCAACTAAATCAGATTTTTACTGTTATTACATAAGAAAGAAGGCAGGCAGTGTTTCTAAGTGTTCTGATTGTCTCCTGGCATTATTTTTTTTTTTGGCTTTCATACTTCTTATTTTCCTTCCTATTTAAATAGAAGGGTGAATGACTCGTCAGACTGCAGTAAAAGAACTAAATAAGCAAAGACAAAATGAGAGCTCCTTGGTCCTATCTCATGTATACTTTGTATCAGCCAAAATGTAAAGAAAATTCTGCGATGACTTCTTTATGTTCAAAAACCTAAGAAAGGGACTTACGAGTCCACCTTTGTACTTAAACAAACAGGAAACACTGATGATAATGCTATAGCTAAACTGCATTAGCCCAACTTCTCCTTTAAGCGTTATAATGCTTCCAGCAGTCATATTGTTCTGGTCTTTCTTTTCAAAATTAGACTGTATGCTCTATCAGTTATTATCAGAACTTGAAAACACTCTGCCAAAAAAGAAAGAGCTGTTAAGTTCTGACAAAACAAAGAGTGATGAGAGCTATACAAATAAAAATATAACTCCATAGCAATTCTAGATTTTGATCTATATAAATTAAGTTTATTGAAATATTTTAAAAAAGTACTAGAACAGTGATATTTTTGAAAAACAAGGTAGCTCTAGGAAGACTGTGATTTCTGTATTTTTTTCGCTTGATGATTACTGATATTATAAGGCAACACCTATGAGAAAGATAATTCAGATTGCTAACTATGAAATATTCATAATACACAAATTATGCAATTTTCAATTGGAATTTGATGGTTTCTTAAGAAAATAGTTAAATTTAAACATGACAGATTCAATTATTCAATAATTGTCTTCAAACAGTGCTTCTGCTTCCAGATTTATTCTGTTTCCCAGAATACAGTTAAAGCAGTACAACTGTAGAGGATCTCCAGTGAAACTAGTTAAGTTACTTTCCTTTTTTTTTGTTTGTTTGGTTTTGTTTATTTGCTGGGGTTTGGGGTGGGTTTTTTTTTTGTTTGTTTGTTAGTTTTTTTGTTTGTTTGGGGTTTTGGGTTTTTTTTTAATTTTTTTTGTGGGTGTTGTTTTTGTTTGTTTGTTTGTTTGTGGGTGCTGGGTTTTTTAAATTTCTCCTAATCTAATTCCTGATTCAGCCAACTACATAAACACAGGTTTAGGTCTTAGTGCATGTGATTATACATGAATGTAGTCCCATTGTCTCTGAAAAAAATAATACTAACCGTTGTAATGAATAATGATGAATTAAACACATTTCTAAATGATTTGCTGATTCATAAAGTGAAGGCATATGGATGGAAGAGTATATTACTATCTCATATAAATTGTGAAAAATGTGAAACAGAAACAGATAAACTTTAGAACTTTCAATGACTTTTTGCTGCTACATATTTTATATTCTCAAGGCCTTTCCTTGAACCAACTTGTGAATGTTTACATGACTGAAAAATCTCCAAATATGAATGATCAATACTAATGTATATTTTTTTGGCAAAAAACATTCAACCAGAAGTGAAGAATAGTCAGAAAACATCTTAGATTTACGATAATGGCAAGTAGCTCCCGTGTATCCGGTATTGGCACAGTTGCAGTAGAAGCTGTTCCAGGACTGTGAGCACTCCCCACCATGTTCACAGTAATTAGGCAAACACCTAAAATGAAAAAAAAAAAAAAAGAAGAAGGGCATTTCACTCTTTTTTTCATTTATTTACATGTCACTTACCAAGGAATGCAAAAACATGGAAAAGAAGTACAATAACATGAAGTCCTCAAGCTCATTGGGAAAGATGTCAATACAATTACTAGAAAACCTAGAGAATTTCCTTTCATCTTTCCCACTACTCCTATTGCCTAGAATAAATATATTCACTATGTGATGAGCCTGTGAGAACAGAAATAAAGTATAAGTTGCATAATTGTTACTTATTACCATTCAGCTATCAGCAATTCAATACATACAAACCAGCGAAAGATTTACATGCTGATAATTCACTGGCAATTACTGCAACTGATAGGATTTCTTCAACAAGATATGTCACAACAAAGCAGCATCACAGTCACATCATTTTACAAACAATAGAAAATAATAAAAAAAAAATCAGAAAAGAAATAAAATTTACAATACCTGACAGCTGTTTCAGTAAATCAGTGCGTCAGTTCAGTCACAAGAGGTAACTACCAGTAAAGCAATTTTTTTATTCTGGTGGTATGAACAGAAACCTGACAAATTATGCCATCTTTCTTGTGGATTTAGAATGATTGATTGCAAAGAAAATTTGCCTGTAACTACTTAATGGTTAAGATTGCAGCACTATACCTAGATACATTGCAGAAGATGAAGAAAAACTCAAATTTATCTTTTTATAAAAGCAATTGAAAGTATACTGAAAAAGAGTGGCACACTTTAACTAATTTTTCATTAGCTTTTCAACTTAGAAATTAGTTAACATTCCAATTACAGTGAATGCATATGTATATGCATGTTTATGTAACAGAGCTCAAAACTATAAGAAGGCTTAGTTGTTGACATCAACCACAGGAAAAAGAAAAACAGGCCCACTAACATTCTCAGGATCCTAAAATACCTTTTAATTCATTCAAGAAATCTTAGCACGGTATTAAGTTAGGACTGTAAGAAGTCCAGCAGTTCACACACCTGCCCTATAAAAAATTCAGGAATTCAAGGCCTTTGTGTGTGCTCGGCTCGCTCCCTGAAATGTCTGTACGCCAATGCGCGCAGCATGGGAAATAAGCAGGAGGAGCTAGAAACCTGTGTTAAGTCGGGAGATTATGATCTGGTGGCAATTACAGAGACGTGGTGGGACAGCTCACATGACTGGAATATAGTCATGGAGGGCTATGTCCTTTTCAGGAAAGACAGGCCAGCCAGGCGGGGTGGTGGGGTTGCTCTTTATGCGCGAGAGCAGCTACAATGCGTTGAGTTCTGTCCGGGGACAGATGATGAGCGAGTCGAGAGTCTGTGGGTGAGAATTAAGGGGCAGGCTGGCAGGGGCGATACTGTTGTGGGGGTCTGTTACAGGCCACCGGATCAGGGTGAGGAAGTTGACGAGGCCTTCTACAGGCAGCTGAGAGCGGCCTCACAGTCACAGGCCGTGGTCGTCGTGGGGGATTTTAACTTCCCTGATGTTTGCTGGAAGGACTACTCGGCAACCCAGCTGCAGTCCAGGAGGTTCCTCCAGTGTATGGATGATAACTTCCTCATGCAAATGGTGGATGAGCCAACCAGGAGAGGTGTGCTGCTGGATCTCATCCTCACTAACAAGGAGGGTCTGGTTGAAGGAGTGAAGGTTGAGGGCTGCCTTGGTTGCAGCGACCACGAGATGGTAGAATTCAGGATCTTGTGTGGTAGGGTCAGTAGAATAGCAAGTAGAATCGCAACCCTGGACTTTAGCAGGGCAAACTTTGGCCTCTTCAAGCGATTGCTAGGGGAAATCCCGTGGGCTAGGCTGCTTGAAGGGAAAGGGGCCCAAGATAGTTGGTTGACGTTCAAGGACTGCTTTTTCCGAGCTCAAGATCGGAGCATCCCGACACGTAGGAAGTCAAGGAAGAGGGTCAGGAGACCTGCGTGGCTAAATAGGGAATTGCTCGGTATGCTCAAGTGGAAGAGGAGAGTTTACAGGTCATGGAAGGAAGGGCTGGCCACTTGGGAAGAATATAAGGCTGCTGCTAGAGGATGTAGGAAAGCTGCTAGGATGACTAAGGCCTCCTTGGAATTAAAGCTGGCGAGAGGGGTCAAGGACAGCAGAAAGAGCTTTTTCAAATACATGGCAGGTAAAACTAACACCAGAGGCAATGTAGGCCCGCTGATGAACGGGACGGGTGCCCTGGTGACAGAAGATACAGAGATGGCAGAGTTACTGAATGCCTTCTTTGTCTCTGTCTACTCTGCTGGAGGCAGTCCTGAAGAGCCCTGTACCGCTGAGACCTCGGATGAAGATAGGTCAACGGAGCGGTCTGCCTTAGTCAATGAGGAATGGGTTAAAGACCAGTTGAGCAATCTGGATATCCATAAATCCATGGGTCCAGATGGGATGCACCCGCGGGTGCTGAGGGAACTGGCTGAGGTCATTGCTAGACCGCTCTCCATCATCTTTACCAAGTCTTGGGAAACGGGAGAGGTGCCTGAGGACTGGAGGAAAGCAAATGTCACTCCTGTCTTCAAAAAGGGCAAGAAGGAGGACCCGGGTAACTATAGACCGGTTAGCCTCACCTCCATTCCTGGGAAAGTGATGGAACACCTTGTCCTTGGTGCCATCTTAAGGCATATCAAGGATAAGAGGGTTATGAGGGGCAGTCAACATGGCTTCACCAAGGGGAAGTCGTGCTTGACCAATCTCGTAGCCTTTTATGAGGAAATAACACGGTGGATGGATGATGGCAGAGCAGTGGATGTGGTCTACCTTGACTTCAGCAAAGCGTTTGACACGGTCTCCCACAGCATCCTTGCGGCTAAATTGAGGAAGTGTGGTCTGGATGATCGGGTAGTGAGGTGGACTGTGAACTGGCTGAAGGAGAGAAGCCAGAGAGTTGTAGTCTATGGGGTGGAGTCTAGTTGGAGGCCTGTATCTAGTGGAGTGCCTCAAGGGTCGGTACTGGGACCAGTATTATTTAATATATTCATCAACGATTTAGATGAGGGAATTGAGTGTACTATCAGCAAGTTTGCTGATGACACTAAGCTGGGAGGGGTGGCTGACACGCCAGAAGGCTGTGCTGCCATCCAGCGAGACCTGGACAGGCTGGAGAGCTGGGCGGGGAATAACTTGATGAAATATAACAAGGGAAAGTGTAGAGTCCTGCATCTGGGCAGGAACAACCCCAGGTTCCAGTATAGGCTGGGGAACGACCTGTTAGAGAGCAGTGTAGGGGAGAG